AGTGACTTTCAAGTACAAAAGATGAAATGCTGCCCCATCCTCATGATTAATGAGAGGTTTGAGCCTATTGTGGCAGCCACTGTGTCAGTCCAGCTAAAGGATGGTCTTCTTTTTGCTGTCTCTCTACCATACATGCTATCCCCATCCAGAGACTGATCCTTTAGATAATATGTGCAAAGTAAGTGAGGTGAAGTCTTGCCATCCTCACTTCTAAGGAGCATTCTGACTGCAGTCTTTGATCTTCCTCAGTAAGTGCTTCAAGTCTTCTTCACTTTCAGCAAGCAAGGCTGTTACATTTACATACCACATGTTGTTAATTAGTTCCTCCAATCCTGATGATGCATTCTTCTTCATAGAGTCCATCTTGATTTTAAAGCACACAGTGTTCCCTTGTCATCTTTTTTTATTTTAAAGCACACAGTGTTAAGTATGGGTATATCATTTTCTTTTTTAGTAGTATCTTTGCCTGTTTTAGTATCAGGGTTATGCTTGCCTCATAAAAAGAAATTTTGAGTATTCCATCCTTTTCTATTTCTAGAATAGTTTAAGTAGAATTTGTGTTAGCATTTCTCTGAATGTTTGGTAGTATTCACCAGTGAAGTTTTCTGAGCTCACAGTCATATAGACAGAGAGGAACACATTCAAACAGGACAAGGAAACACTGTGTGATTTAAAATCAAGAAAGATGTGCATAAGAGTTGTATCCTTTCATCAAACTTATTCAATCTGTATAAGTATACCAATAATTAACAAGAATACCCAGCAATCATCTGTCAGTTTGTTGTATTGTGGTGGCTTGTGAGTTGCTGTGATTCTGGAAGCTATGCCATGGGTATTTGAAATACCAGTAGGATACCCATGGTGGGCAGATTTCAGATGAGCTTCCAGACAAAGACAGACTAGGAAGAAGGAGAGACGAACTACTTCTGAGTATTTAGTCACTGAAAACTTTATGAATAACAGAGAAACACTGTCAGATATAGTGCCAGAAAATGTGCCCTTCAGGTTGGAAGGCACTCAAAATGTGACTGGGGAAGAGTTGACTCTTCAAAGTAGAGTTGACCATGATAATGAGAATGGAGTAAAGCCCGTGGGAGTAAAGCCCATGGGACCTTCATTTGCTGATGGGGCACAACTCAAAATGAAGAGAAACAGCTGTAAACATCCATTAATAATCAGAATATGGAATATACAAAGCAGGAATCTTGGAAAGTTGGAAGTTGTCAAAAATGAAATGCATAAACATTGATATCTTAGGCATTAGTGAGCTGAAATGGACTGGTATTGGCCATTTTGAATCTGACAACAACATAGTTTACTATGCCGAGAATGACAAATTGAAGAGGAATGTGTTACATTCATCATCAGAAAGAACATATTCAGATCAGTCATGAGGTGCAACACTGTCTGTGATAGGATAATATCCATGCGCCTACAGGGAAGGCCAGTTAATAATACTATTATTCAAATTTACATACCAACCACTAAAGCCAATGAGGATGGAATAGAAAAATTCTACCAACTTCTTCAATCTGAAATTGAACAAACATGCAATCAAGATGTATGGATCATAACTGGTGCCTGGAATGCAAGGGTTGGGAACAAAGAGGAAGGATCAGTAGTTGTAAAATATGGCCTTGGAGATAGAAATGATGCTGAAGAACACATGATAGAATTCTGCAAAATCAATGATTTGTTCATTTCAAATACCTTCTTTAGACAACTCAAGGATCTCACCAGATGGAATACATAGAAATCAGATTGACTACATCTGTGGAAAGAGATGGTGGAAAAGCTCCAAATCATCAGACAAAAGAAGGCCAGGGGCAGGTTGTGGAACAGACCATCAATTGCTCATATGCAAATTCAAACTGAAGCTGAAGAAAATGAAAACA